CTAAGATGGCATCCTATAGCTCCTTCCTCATAACCTAATCCCCCCCACCTCAGCTCTCCCCCTCCTAAAGAGTCATTTCTCTTTGTGAATAGCATTTGGATGGCTGGACTCTAATGAAATCCAGAATCTCATCAAAATAGGAAAGGGCACCTGACACACCACAAATCCTCCCCAAAGGGTCTTCTGCTTACACTGAAACAAAAAAGTGATTTGCAGAGAAATAGGGTAAATCGGTTACAGACTTGTTGCCACCACATTTCCTCTATAAAAAAGGGATGTAACAGTACCCACCTCAAATGGGAGAAAATTTGAGATTGTGCATGAACACTCATCGCTGTGCCCAAGTTGCAGTCCCAATACTTGAAGTCTCAGTGTTAACTGTGGTAAGAACTGCAGCTACTGTAAAATTATTGAGACAAATTCCTATAACTTGTGGTATGATCAGTCAGTTGCTCCCTTTTCCTATACCTGTTTCCCTGCCCACCAAACACAGGCAGTCCAGATATCCTTGGTTGTACCAGGGGGCAGTATGGACAAAGCACTTTTCTGAGATGGGCACCCCAGAAGGAAAGGCAAGATTATGGTCATTCATTCGTTGTTGTTAATTGAATATTAGACTCTTGTGAAGGCTGGGCAGATGTCAGAAGATGTAGCCAAGGTCCTTGGCATTAGCTCTCCTTGTCTCAATGCAGTATTGACAGAAGGTCCTTTTGGATTGAATGACAGTGGGGCAGAGGAGGTTAAGGAAAGTATCAAGAAAGAAAGGCATCCCTTGAGTAGAGTACAGAAGGGGCTGGCCAGTTAAGAAGAGTCTTGGGTCCCCTCAGACTTCTTGTTTTGAGCCCTGCCTCTTGCCTTTTCTCTGAAGCTCCATAAGGTAGACCCTGTTTCATTATGCTTGCCTCTTTCTATAAAAACCTGCTCTAAGGGAATAGCCTTATATATTTGTTTATACAAACATGTAAATGGCCATTGGGGCTTTATGCTTACTCATTTTTATAAGGGGAAACGCTTTCAGTCAAAGAAATTAATACATTGAAGTGAATGCAGGAAACAGGGGCCTCCCCAATGACTTAGAAAACACACTGCCTACTGCATCCAGAAAACCAGTGGCTGTGGCAGGGGGGGACCAAGCCATCTGAGTTTAGTTGAACTGACTGAACAATTTCTGAATGCTACATTCTTTTCCTGTGGAAAGTGGGCAGGAGCATGGTAGGGGAGAAGAGGACAAGGGACACAAGACAGAGCAGAAGTACACAAAGTAGGGAGGGATTATTCCCTCCAAATGTGCCTCTCAGGGAAAGAAGAGTTGCCAGGGAGGAGTGCAGAGCTCTGTTTCTTCAAAGCATGACTTTAGTGTAATGGAAAGTAAGGAGCTCTGGTGGCTCAGCTCTTTGGAGTACCCTCAGCCTCCTTCCTTGGCCCCTTCTGGCTCATGACACTCCAGGTCATGGCTGGTGTGTTTTAAGAGGAGCTCATCTCCTGGGCAAATGCAGTCAACTTGTAGCCAACCTGAATACTGCCCAGGGCTCCCCATCTGCTTTGCAACCTAGGACCAAAGAATGGCCAGATTATGGATCATATTATGTTCCTGGTGAGGGGTGGAGGGTTGGGCAGAGAATTCAGGTTATCAGGAGGGTCAGAGCAGAGATAGTGAAAATGACTGTCAGAGGGTGCCACCTGCCCTCCCTACAGGGTGGCTCCACCAGCAGCCCTCTTGGCTTAAGACAGTGTCATGACATGGTATGAAGGGTTTGGCCTCCAGCAGCCCCTAGGAAAGGGGCTCCAAAACAGAAGAAACAGAGATGGATCAGAGCCAGTTCTGGAACACAAACACCAGTATATTTGATGTGCACAAATGTGAAAAGGAAGAGACGAAGAGACCAATGAAGACAGAGCAGGCAATGGGCGCACAAACCAGTCGTGTGTCCTTCTGAAGAGCTGCCGCAGTTGGGAGACAGTCCCACCCACTTCGAAGGTGGGAGAGCCGGGACCTGCAGCTCCTCCATGTCTGGGGTGGCTTCAGGGTGGAAGGTACTCTCCCTGCCTTCACCATAGCTCAAGGGCTGGACCTCTTTCCTTTCTGAATTCCCTGTGATGATGTCTGCACAGCCCAGAGCTTCATAAATATAGGTTCTCAGGAACTGACCCATTCAGTGCTGCCTCCCTAAGGAGACCCATGCAGAGAGTGAGGGACTAGGACAAGAGGATTTCATGGGCACTCCCTATGTATTATTGCTGTAAATAAGCATAGGCCATTGTGACTCACTGGCATCAGAGGGGACAGGGCATAAGGGACAGGATGCCTAGCAGACATCAGAAGCGGTTCAACCATGCAGGGCAGCACATGGCGGTCTATACCTCAGAAGTGCTGCCATGTCCAGTGGAGAGAGACCCAGGACACCAGAGGTTCACAAACAGCAAGCAGACTCTTCCTGCCAGCACCCCCACTGACAGAGCTGGGGTGCCTGGGCACTAAGGGATTAGGGCCCTGAAGATACAAAAAAAAAAAAAAAAAAAAGCAAGAGTTGAAATCAGAGCTACTCCTGGTGATTTCTGAGCCTTCAGACCCTGAACTCATGCCCTGGATCATTGCCCGCCTTTGCTGGGCTCTGTGCCCTATGAGGGACAATAAGAGCCACAGGGCACCTGGATGAAGCAGAAAAACAGTGCTCTGTACATGTCAGGCAGGCAGGTTTACTGTGGGGCCTCCTGTACTTGGGAGTTTGTAGGACCCAGAGAAAAGACGGTGCCAGGGAATGCCCATGAGGCAACATCTGGAGTGGACAGACCCAATGGGCCATCCAAGGGCTTGCTCTGACTGAGAATCATGGAGGCCCTATGCTGGCAGACATCAACAAGCTGACCACAGATTCGGTCGTGGCAGGGGAGGGCAAAGGTGGGTGATGTGGTCTAAGGGCCCACGTGGGGGGCCTGGAAGGGTGTTGGGGTCCAGAAAACTGGGATATCACAGAATTAAGGGAGAAGGCCAAGGAAATAATTTCCCAGAGGGAACAGGGAAGCCAGATGATATTTTCCCTCTAGAATCCCTTCCACCTGTAGATAGAAACCTGAATCTCTGGATGCCCCAAAGCCCTGGAATTGGGGCCACAGCAAAATCAAAGGTAGGTCTGGCCCTTGCAGAATGTAGTTCATGCCTGGATTTGAGGAGCCTGGCAGGGACACAGAGGCTGGAAGGTGCCCTTCATCCTGTCCTGGACAGGGTTAACCGCAGAAAACAACCAGCCTTTCTCCCCATCTGGGATACCACTCCTGCCCATCCCCAGCCCACCAGCCCTGGCTCACACCCTGACTAGTGCTGTCTGCACAGTCTAGGTAGAGCAGCACAGCAAGGAAGAGCAGATTCTCTCCACAGGCAGTATTATCGTTTCATAATGATCCATAAAAAGGGAAAGGCAAATTTCTATCTAAGACTCCTAGTGCGTCAAGAGACCACATGCCACAGCATTGGCTGCATTCTGATGGACCTCTCCCTTCAGGGAGTGGGGACAGAGCCAGAAGTGGGCTGGAGTGAGGACTTCACCTGTCCACTGCCAGCAATGGACCTGTCACAGAGGAAGGGGGGGGTGCTGGCAACCAAGATGACAAAGCCCATGAGCATGGCAGGGCTAATACTGCTTAAGGAGTAAGCTCAAAGGGTCAGCCTTGCTGGGAGGGGTGGGAAGGGGGTAGCGCTGACCAGATTTTGCTGCAGGGCTGGGGCTATGGCAGAACCAACTGACCCCCTCCCACTAAGGATGCTCCAAAGACCCTCTCAAAGCTGAAAGGCTGTCTTCTTTTTTTCCCTCACTTATTCTCCATGGGTCTCCCAACACCGGATTCCTGCTCCTCCATCCCCTAGAAAGCTCGATTCCCCCTGACTGGCTTGAAAAGAAACCAGATGCCTTTATCACAACCCTCCTCCCCTAAACTGATTTGTCTCTAGGTCCCCATTGTGGATCTGGGGTGGCCCATCTTGGCCTGTGTGTTGGGGGAGGGTATATCATTCAATTTTTGCTGGGCCACTGAGGGGAGGGGGCACAGAGAAGAGCACCGGGGCATTGCCACAGCCCACCAGACAGGTGGGGAGGTGTAAAAGGGGAACTTCCCAGTCATCAGGCCAGCAGAAATAGTGGAGGGAAGGCAGCAATAGGGTGGGCAGGGTCTGTCTCAGGGTTCTATCTCTGGCAGCTGCTGTGTTGATCAGGGAGTTGGGGAGGGGGGCCGGTGGGGATGACAGACATGGATAAAGGGGCTGCTAGTGGTAAAAGCCTTGAAAATAAAAGAGAAAGGGGGGAAACGCCACCGAACACACAGGGGTTGAAACCTCCAAAAGCCCAAGGTTGGTGGGAATCCAGCACCAGGGTGGGGGTGGGGGGGGTCCCCAGAAGGCCAAGGGAGCGTCGGAGCCCTGGGGGAGGGGAGAGGAGCCAAGGGAAGGCCTCCAGCCCTGGCAGACCAGCACTACTGCCAAGCAGCCTCCTGGCCGCCCAGTCTGTCCTTAGGCTGCAGCTCAGCAGGCCCCCGGGGAGGTATTGGTTGCAAGCAAGCACCTGAATATTGCCTAATGGAACCAGCCAAAGCCCAACTTAAACCACGTGAGAGGAGAGAGGAGGCCTCGCAGCAGCCCAAAGCCTCCTCAGGCTTCTCATCTTCTGCCCCATTCTCAGAGTCCCTTAGCCAGGACAGGGCCTGCTGCTTCCAAAGTCACCCAGGTGGTCAAGTCGCTGCTTAGCCATAGGCCTCTGGCCGCCAGCCTCTGAGCTGGGCAGGGATCCACAGACCCTTCCCAGAGTCCCCGGGCTACCTCGACACCCGCCCCCCACACCTGGCCCCGCCCCCGGTCCCGCCCCCGGTGGACGGCGAGGGTGTGTGCCCTAAGGGGCTGAGGCCAGACCCGGGCCAGGGCTTGTGCTGTTCAGAAGACGTAACCCCACCAGCTTGGTACCTCTGTCCACCGGGTCCATGAGAGAGCCCCGGGCCCCACCCACCAGTCCCATTCAGTCTGTCTTGACGTGGCCGTTGGCCATCGCCAGGGGGCCACTGGGCTCCCCGGGCTCAGCGTCCTTGTCAAAGCGGAGGCGGAGGGTGTTGCGGATGATGAACTGCTCCATGATGAGGGACCCGCAGAACCAGGGCACGGCGTACTCCAGGGTGATGAGGCCCATGAAGTCAAAGTCGAACTGGGAATAGTCCCAGGGACAGGCGTTGAACTGGCGCAGGATGAAGCCGGTGGTGAACTCCCACAGGTAGGTCCAGAGCGTGTAGATGAGGCAGCGCACCAGCAGTGGGCAGCGGCCACGCAGGCGCAGGTACATGCGCTCCACGATGAGGATGGAGGTGCCGTAGATGAAGAGAGCCCACACGCTCGTAACCCCAGGGAACTTCCAGTTAAAGTTCACCACGAACTCCCAGGCCGCTGTGAACATCACCTCGCAGAAGTAGCCGTGGATGGCATACAGGTACCAGCGGGACAGCGCTGTCAGGGGCTCGGCAGATGCCATGGCGCCGAGTGGGGCTGGCTGCTGGGACACAAAGGAGACAGGTGAGGGAAGGAGGGACGGAGCCCTCCTCCTGCCTTCCCTCGTGCAGCTCAGGTCTCTGCCATGACCAGGCTGGAGGGGATTCCAAACCTGCCTCTAACTTTCTCTTTGGTTACCAGTCATATTCTTGACGCTATTTCATGTTCATTACTTTATTCCCTATTCCTCACCTTAGCCAGGTGGGCATGAGAAATGAAAGGAAGAAAATGAAAAGTTCCACTGGCTTCCTCTGACCAGCCCTACTCAAATACTATTGGAAGGAGGTATATCCTACACTCCCTAAACTTTGTTTGGATTATCTGTGGTCAGTGGAAGAGCTGGCTGTCCTGGCCTGCCAGTCACCCCCATTTCTAGGCTACTAGCTGATTCATCTCTTCCTGCACTTCTTTTCAAACAACTCCACATCACTCATATTTCTGGGATCTTTCTAAGCAACCTATCACATTTATCTTGTGCGTGTGTGTTAGTTAACATATACATAACATGTACTGCGTTAGCCATTTTCAGGTGTACAGTTCAGTGACATTAAGTACAGTCACACTGTTGTGCAACTGTCACCACCATCCATCTCCAAAATTTTTTCATTATCCCAAACTGAAATTCCATACTCATCAAACACTCGCTTCCCACCCCCTCCCCCCTGCCCTGGCAACCATCATTCCACCTTCTGTCTCTATGAATTTTACTACTCTAGTTACCTCTTTTCAGTGGCATCATATTGTAATTGCCCTTTTAAGACTGGCTTATTTCACTGAGCATCATGTCTGCAAGGTTCATCCATGTTGTAAGCATGTGTCAGAATGTCCTTCACTTTTTAAGGCTGAATAATATTCATTCCACTGTGATCTAGCTAGCTATCTAGATATGTCACATTAAAAAACATTTTTTAATGTTTATTTTTAAGAGAGAGACAGAGCATGAGTAGGGGAGGGGCAGAGAGAGAGAGAGAGAGAGGGAGAGAGAGAAAGAGAGAGAGAGGGAGACACAGAATCTGAAGCAGGCTCCAGGCTCTGAGCTGTCAGCACAGAGCTTGATGTGTAGGGCTTGATGCAGGGCTCAAACTCACGAGATGTGAGATGATGACCTGAGCTAAGTCAGACGCTTAATCCACTGAGCCGCCCAGGCACCCCCTATGTCACCTTTTATTTATCCATTTGTCCATGAATGGGTTGCCTCCACCTTTTGGCTATTGTGAACACTGCTGCTATGAACATGGGTATACAGATATCTGTTCTAGTCTCTGCTTTCAATTCTTTTGGATTTATATCCAAGAGTAGAATTGCTGAATCATATGGTGATTCTGTGTTTATTTTCTGAGGAATAGCCTTGCTGTTTTCCACAGCAGCCATACCATTTTACGTTCCCACCAACAGTACTCAAGGATTCCAATTTCTCCACATCCTTGCCAGCACTTGTTATTTTCTGGTTTTTTGATGATGGTCATCCTAATGGGTTGAAAGTGGAAGCTCGTTGTGGTCACATTTGTCTTTCACTGCTCCATTAAGCAGGTTTTGGTGTTAGTTTCAATGTTGAAAGGAAACCAGTGGGCTGACAGTCCTCTCTTACTTCTTATTGCCTTCCTCTCCTCTCTTCTCAACCCCACCAGTCTTTAAGGCTCCATCCTGCTTCCCTGAAGGCTGGCCCCCAGATCTCTCAGCTTTCTCCTTGCCCTCCATCAGTGACTGTCTGGATGACTCAATTGCCTCTTTCTCCAGTGCCACCCTGTTTGCTGTTATAAGGCATATGCCCTCTGATCCAGCTAGCTAGTACACAGCTAGCTAGCTGTGTATTCCTTGAGGGAAGGGACTATTTTCCAGTCCTCTGTTCTGCAGCCTTGGCACAGGTGTCTCCAGAGCAGGCAGTCTCTAAACGATGCATGTTTGGGTGTGTGTGTGAGGGGGGTGAGGGGACCAGTTCAGGGCTGCATCAGGAATGGAAAGGCAGATGATGAAAACATGCATCCCAGCTCTGCCAGCTGCCAGTGGACACCAGGCTTGACACTTCTGTCAAGGTGGGAGAGGGGACAGAGGTTAACAAGATGCATTTGTAGTCTGCATGCCTGTCTGGGAATCCCAGCCTCATCTTTCAACTAACACAGACCTAGTCACAATTAATAACCCACCTCAATACCCTCCCTTGTGGATTGCTTTGTGGTCTTCCAAGCACTTCCATTTACATTTTGTCATTGGTTTTTACAAAATTAAGATTCATATGAATGACAGGTAGTTTAACTCCTGTTTTTTAAGAGAGACAGTTGGGGCTCAGAGAGAGGTCATTTGCCCCATATCCCAGGGCCAGTAGATGGAAAGACTAACACTAGGATCCACATCTCCTGGTTTCTGCTTCAGCACCCATCCCCCTGCACACCACTGCCCATCTAGACATGTGCGCCTGATGGTACTCCCCTCCTCAAAAACATTCAGTGACCCCCCATTTCCTAATGAAATGCCACAGCATCCTTGGCCTGGCATTCAAGACTCACTAGGATCTCATGCCAGCCTACTTTTTCAGCCTTATTCTCACAGGCCAGCTCTCCCGGTCTTCCCTCCCCTCCTTGTAGATTCTATCCGTGTATTTCCTGTGGCCTTTCCTCTCACCTCCACAAGCACAAACCCAGCTTCCAGGTTACCTTCAGAACAAAATCTTTTTCATCCTCCCCGCCACAGTCCTCCCCTCCCCCCACTGAATAGCCATAGCACTCACTCTATCTCTCTTTGGCCCAGATGATTTCCTGTTTTATTATGTTGATAACATTCAGTCCCCATCCAGATGTTTTTCCTGTGTTCTGCGCCTCTGTATCCCACTCCTTCCTGAACACTTCCACCTAAATGTCCTATAGGCACCTCAAATCCTTTCCTAAATCAGATTCATTATCTTTTCCCCAAAACTTGTCTTCCTCCTGTGACCCCACTCTGATTAAAGGAACCACCAAGCACCCAGTTAGCAGCCAGAGGCTCTAGTGTTATGCTAACTTCCTCTGCTGCGTCTCCACTCGAACATGAGCTCCCTGAGAATAAGGACCTTGTCCATCTGGTTCAGCACTGCATCCCCACTGCCTACAATAGTGTCTGGCACACAGCATTCAATGAAAAAAAAAAAAGACATTTATTAATAGTTTATAATTGCTACGTAAGTCATTCCAAAACTCAGTGGCTTCAATCAACTCTCATTTGTTACTACTACTTGTGTGTCTGTGGGTTAGGGGATCTTGGGTGGCCTTGATCATGAGACTGCTGGTCATTTGGGGGTTCTGTCCTATCCTTGGCTGGGGTGGCTCTTATCTACTTATCTCACATCCCAGGCACGCTTTCTCATGGCAAGGGCAGAAGCACATGAACGAGCAAGCCCTGCTGCACCCATGCTTTTCAAGACTCTGGTTAACTCATGCCCACTAACATCTTCTTGATCAAAACAAGTCACATGGCAAGGCCACCAAGTCAGCCATTACCTCCTGTCCTTTCCACCACTTAAATATCTTTGAAATCATCTCTTCCTCTTCACTCCTCTTTCTCATTGCTGCTGCTCTGCTTTAAGCTGTCACCATCTCTCACCCAGATGCCCCCAGGTGTCTTCCAGGGGGTGCCTGGAAGGTGCCTATTCCTTTCCAATCCACTCATCACACTAAGAGCATGTAGAGGGCGCCGGGGTGGCTCGGTTGGGTAAGCATCTGACTTCAGCGCAGGTCGTGATCTCACAGTTTGTGGGTTTGAGTCCCACGTCCAGCTCTGTGCTGACAGCTCAGAGCCTGGAGCCTGCTTCAGATCTGTGTCTCCCTCTCTCTCTGCCCCTCCTCCACTGGTGCTCTGTCTCTGTCTCTCAAATAAACGTTACAAAAAAATTTTTTTAAAGAGTATGTAAAAACAGCAATCTTTCTCAAACGCGAATTTGATATTTCTCCCCATGTGGGCCTATTAGTGGATCTTTACCATCTATGCAATAAGGCTCAAACCCCTAGGGATGGCTGGCAAAGCCCTTTATGAGCCACCTCTGCCTCAGATCTTGTCCTCTGGATCTTTTCATTACTGCTTTTGCTACCTGGGGTGCCTTTCCCAACTGCTACGGCCACCACCACCCCCAACCCATGGCCCATGAGCCCATAATCTTCAAGGTCCAGCTTCTCTGTGAAGATTTTCCTAAACACCTCCAATTCCAGAGCTATCTGCTGCCCTGTTTGTCCACCTCTGCACCCAGTTCACTTCTGTGACAACAGTTAGCACTATGCTTTGCTATGCACCAGTGGCCCCTTGATGAACGTTTATTATAATGTTAAGAGGAAAAAAAAGCAGGATTCAAAACTAAATAATTAATATGATTTTGATTTTGCAAAAGCCTACATACATGTAAACGTACAAAAAATTAGCCATAATCATCTCTGGAGGGTGACATCACAAGTGATTTTTATTTCCTTTTTTAAACTTCTCGTATAGTCTAAAAATTTTTTCTACCAAATATATATAAACTTTTACAAAAATAAAATTTAACTTAAAATTGTTTGTTGTATGAATATGTATTAATCATCTTTGTGCCTTGTATAGAGAAGATATTCAACAAACTTGGCAGACAAATGAACCTTAGGACACCTGAAGTCCTGAAAAATTAATGTAGGCTGTTCCCTCCTGAGCCATCATCACCAACAACAAACCATGCCTCACAGGTTTGAATAACATAAAGTGGTTAAGCCCAGGGGCTCTAGACTCTAACTTTCTGATTCAAACGGGCTGGTACCCTTCACCTGTGGGCTCCAGGGCACGTTACCAGACCTTTCTATAAAACGGTTTCCTTTTTTCCTCAGTTTCCTTATAGATAAAGGGAAAATAACAAGAGTAACTACTTCCGAGGATGACTCTAAGGATGAATGAGCTAATAGACGCTACTGAACTTACAGCAAATGCTCAAGAAAGTGTGGCTGTCACTTCTGGCACAGAGATGGGCTTCCTGGTGAGCTTCTCCCACTTTGAGTGCCACCTCGTACCCAAGGC